ACATGACTGGCGAGGTAGATTTATCCCGCAGTAGGTTGCCATTTCTTTTTGCGGTAGACTAGTTGTCATCCAAGGCTATAGAACCCGGTCTGTCCGGCTATTTACCCATAGCTGGGACGTGATAATACCCTTTCCCAAAGGTATTAGCGCATAAGTGAATGCAATGGATTCGTCTAGAATTCGAATTCGGCTCTCTAATTTTTCAATCCGAGCCGCTAACCATTACTCCACCGTGCTTCCTAATTCAAAATTCAAAGTTTTCCTTCTCCTAGACCAGTTGCCATCCAATTCTATTGAACCCAGTTTGTCCTGCTATTTACCCATAGGTGGAGGAAGAGAAGAGGATTCACACCTTTTCCAAGGGTATTAGCACGTAAGTGAATGTAATGGTTTCGACTGGAATTCGAACTCGGCTCTCCGATTCCTTAATCCAAGCCGCTATCCATTACTCCACCGTCTAGTGAATAATGAGTTTGATCCTCACTGGGCGCCCCATACAAAATTCAAAGGTTGAAATGTCGTAAAATCAATCAACTTTTACCCGACATAGGGTGATGGTTAATGAGTTTAGTTTGGTTGACTATTACTAGTGAATAATGAGTTCGATCCTCACTGGAAGCACCATACAAAATATCAACATTAAATAACCAAACAAGGGTTGAAATATTGCGTAAAATCAATCAACTTTACTCGGTGTAGGATAATGGTTAATGAGCCTAGGACAGTAGACCATTACTACTGACTAGTGTTTTCCATCCTCACTAGGGGCCTTATACATGTGACCTTGTTCTAATTTAAGGTGGATTTAGTAAATAATCATTGTGGTGCCTTCATTTGGAATGATGGCTGGAAAAGCTCACCTGGTTTACTATTACAACTGAATAGTTTTTACGGTCCTCACTAGGTGTCTCAAGCGAAATTCGACATTAAATAACTAAAAAAAAATCCCATATCGTCAAATCAAACAAAGAAAAATCGGAATTGGGTAATGATTAACGTGGCTAGTCTAGTTGTTACCATTGCTCCTGAGTAAAAAGTACGATCCTCACTAAGTGCCCCATACAAAAATTGATATGAACCTGCAATGGTTGCAATGTCGTAATATCAACGAATATTTCCTTATAAGGAAACGGCTAATATTATCATTACCATTAGAGATGAAAAGAGCAGATACTACACTTTGATCTCAGCCCGATGTCCAGGGAATGAAGAAAAGCATAACTCAGGTAGCATTGGCTGCTCGGTCAATGAATGTCAAATGTTTCCTTATAAGGAAACGGCTAATATTATCATTACCATTAGAAATGATGAGAACAGATACTACACTTTTATTCCACCGCGACGGCTAAGGAGTGAAGAAAAGCACTAGATTGCTCGGCCAATGAATGAAAAATGTTTCCTTATAAGGAAGCAGTTAAAATTACCTTTAGTAAATAATGAGTTCGATCCTCATTGGGAGCCCCATACAAAGGGTTGAAATGTCATAAAATCAATCAACTTCATTCAATCAGAATTATATTTTAACTTAATTGGAATTAAGTGAAAGTATAATTCTAATTAAAAATTTAACAATGAAGATCTTCGTTTATCAAGTAGCCGTAGAGTTATGGTTAATGAGCTTTATTTTAATGTCCCCAATTTGTCATGGGCTGTCTCTTTTGCTAATGACGATGTATTTTGTCTGCTTACAATTGTTGGTCAGTCCATAAAATCTAAATCCACCGCAGAATATAGCCCGATCACTTTCAAAACGGTATGAATTAGTGTATGTGGAATGTATCGATTTGTCGTGTACTTTTTTGATTTGGTCGAGTATTCTTCAGCCTTCTTTAAGTGTCTGCTGTGTTCCACTTGCGTTTCACAACAAAAGAGACACCTGAAGAAGTGTACGCGACCGAAACGTTATAAAAGAAAATCGAAAAAAATAGTTCTAAGAAACCTTCTTCTTTATATACCGTGTCCCCATAGGCCATACAACATCATGGCCCTCCACACCTTCCTGTCCCTTGTAGCTCTTAATGAGTTTTGTCTATTTGTTATTTCTCCCAAACCATGTTTTACCATACATTTACTCAAGCCATCAAGTATGTCACGCGCTGCTTTCCTTTGATATGCCCTGTGAGTATCAGATTTTCCAAGTCCTCCTTCCTCATTATGTGCCCTAGAAATCTCAACTGCTTCTTCCTGATGTTAAGTATAAGTTCCCTTTTTATTTGCATTCTATCCAAAACCTTGTTGTTGCTCTGTAGTATCCTCAGCCAATCTAGACTTCTTCTATGTGCCATGTCTCTTCAGAACACAGGTGATTATGGCCCTCCACACCTTCCTGCCTCTTGTAACTCTTAATAAGTTTTGTCTATTTGTTATTTCTCCCAAACCCTGTACTGCCATCTATTTACTCAAGCCCATCAAGTATGTCACGTGCTGCTTCCCTCTGTCCATCTTTCCTTCGATATGCCCTGTGAGTATCAGATTTTCCAAGCCTACCTTCCAAATCATGTACCCTAGAAATTTAAACAATTATTTCCTGATATTAAGTTTCCGTTTTGTCTCCATTTTCTCTAAAATTCCGTCGTTGTTCACATATTAGATTCATGATATCCTCATTATCTGTCTATAGAACCACATTTCTGCTGTTTCAAGTCTCTTCTTCATCTTTGAGGAGATTGTCAGCACTCAATGCCATATAGGAAGCCCGATATCACGTAACAGTTTAGTACTCTCTTCCTTGTTTCTAACGAAGTTTTTCTATTTCTTAATACTCTACTTAGCTACTGGAAGGCATCTTTGTGTATTCCAATGCTCCTTCGGGTTTCAGTGACGCTCTTTACGTCCTGTTTTAAAACACTTCTACAATAATCAAAATTTTTTAAGAGAGTTCACATAGAGCTCTAAATGACCCCACTATGCGACTACAAGCATATTAACCTTCTTCTACCGAGCCCGGCTTTTGGGGTTGGGTGTGCAGATTTATCCTTGGCAATCCACTTTCTTTTTACGTCGAACATTGTTGTATGTTAACCACTTTTCATCACCTGTTATGATATATTTAAGGAACGGTTATTTAAGATGATATATTCACCATTACAATTGGTTTCTAAAATGGATATTAATTATAACATAATTAATAGAAATAAAATTGATTACTTCAATTTACAAAGTTATAGAGATATTTTAAACTGAATTTAAAACAAATATTTTTAAATTCACAAAGTTTTTATGTTACTTTAAACTCATTATAAATTAAAAACGTTTAAAAAAAACTTTTTTCGGTTATTTCAAAATTTGGATTTTTAACTGTTTCCTCTTCATCCGGATACAAATCCCAATAATGGACAGTCAAGCACCAAATAAAGGGTAGATTTTCCTTTCCTGGAATCATCCTGATTCCAAAAAGATATGTCTATGCAGTGCAAGTGTAGCCCGAGTTAGAGGAGTTTCAGACTCACAGACGGACAGACCGAATTTACCGTTTATTTATTTAAAGAATGGTTCTTTTATCGTTATAATCAAATGCGATTTAAGTGTCTTGGCGTGCTACGCGGCAAAAACGGATATTCCAGATAGTGTCTAGATGCGCATGTGCACTTGGTTAAAATGGCGCACAATGTCGGAGATGAACGGAGAGACATAACTGTACACAAAAAAAAATTACAGATACTTTTATGCAGGCATTTAATGCCAGAGAGACGGAACATAGAACATGCGCACAGGCCCATTTCAATCCGAAGACATGGATATACGCAAAGGTTTGTGGGAATGGATAAACCCGATAGGAGTCAAGGTAGGAGTAAAAAAAACATACACACACACATAGTAAAAGATAGGCTTTAGAATATTCAACTCTCTCTCTCTCTCTCTCTCTCTCTCTCTCTCTCTCTCTCTCTCTCTCTCTCTCTCTAGCTATTTCTGGGTTATACCCACACACGTGCTACACACACATTCACGTGTTACACACACGAGCAGAAAACCAAGTGAATAACCTTTAAAGTTTAAAGATCCATCTCCAGTGACATCCGGTTGGGATTATTGTGGCTTGAGGAAAAAGCCTCTAATTTAGACGTCAATTTTCTATGTTTGTAAAATCTTGATAATTAATCGCCGGAAAACGGCCCCAAGACATCCACAAACATTTGTGTGTGTGGCTTTTCTTCTGCATCTTTGTTTTATTATTATTGTTTTAAGGAACAGGCTCACTGAATTTCACATGATTTCATTTTAAAGATATTTAAAACGTTTATTTCTGTAGCAATTTTTCCAATTAAATTTCGCGTTTAAAACTTAAATAAACATTAACTTTCTTGTGTCAAGATTTGAAAAGAAGGACAGAAAGAAGTAAATATGAATGGACAAGGATATATATATATATATATATATATATATATATATATATATATATATATATGGTTGGATAGATATGAGTTTGTGACCCTGGGTTTCACGCTTTTGTGATCGTCAGAGTTTGTCGGACGATCGCAAAAGCGTGAAACCCAGGTCACAAACTCACATCTATCCAACCAAATATGTTAGCTCTATCTCAGATAGTGAGCGCTTTCTAATAAGTACCGCGCATATAATATATAAATAATTATATATATACATATATATATATATATTTATATTTATATACACACACTTTTTATATATATATATATATATATATATATATATATATATATACTAGGTGTAGCTTAGATGTGGTAAAAGGCCGAAATTACTGAGCACCCAATGAGGATCTGTTTTTTTATGTCTTATAAAACTTTTACTGTTTATATAAAGCCAGAAAATATTTTTAGATTGTCAGAATTATTTAGAAATAATCATAATTTACCGATACAAGTTCTACTAATTAACCCATAGCTGGGGGAGAAGAGGCGTATGCATACTTTTCTAAAGGGTATTTGCGCGTAAGGGAATATAACGAATCCGACTGAAATTGGAACCCGGCTCTACGTTTTCAATTCTGAGTCATTATCCATTACACCACCCGCACATCCAAGCTTACAGCACCTGCTATTACCAAGCGGTCACCCATCTAGGTACTGACCAGGCTCGACGTTACTTAACTTCGGTGATCATATGAGAACAAGTGTTTGAACGTGATAAGGAAGTAAGCCCAGCACAAGTGAATAGGGGACTTCAGGCAACGCAGATGTTCTACAGAAGGATGCTGAGAATACCAAGGATGGAACATGAGAGTAACGGGGAAGTTTTCAGGAAAATGCCAAGGAAACGACACTTTTGCATACGAGCAGATATAGACAGTTGTAAGTTTTGCGATAGGTAATTTTTTTTTCATGAGAGCTTTAAAAATACCTCTCAATCTTCAAGACCTACAAACAAATAAGCGTTATTAATAGTCTTTATTTGTTTGTAGATTTTAAAATTTGAGAGCTGATTTTTATTTTCTCATGAAAAGAAACTATTACTTATGGGATTTTAAGTGTTTGATATTCTTTAATTAATGATAATTTTGCTCTGTTTTTTAACATAGAGCTCTTCCTGGATCTATATCCTCCTGGAAATTCCATACAGATTACGATATTGGATCATTACTGTATATATATATATATATATATATATATATATATATATATATATATATATATATATATAAAAGGGTGTTTCATTAAGTCGGATCAAAATCAGCAGTAAATAAATCAGTGTTATTAGTGAAAATTTATTTATTTCTCTATTGCATCATGTTATTTAAGTCATGACAATTATGTGTGAAATATAATATCTCCCAAATCTCCGCCAAATCTGAAAGAAAAAAAAAGTCATTAGATGCTTAAACTTAATTCACATTTAAAATCGGTTCAAGTTATTTGAAGACCATTTATATAAGCTTTCTTCCATTGCTTGTACCAAATTCATAGTCGGTATAAAGTCGTAAAATTAAATATTTACGGGACCTTGAAATATTGTTTGGATAATCCAAACTTCGTATAGGCGGTGTTCGGATAGCCGACGTTCCACTATATATCTCTTGATCAATCATTTTTTCTCGATTGTCCAACGGCTGTCACGTGAATATTCGACCTTCCGTGCACCGTACGTTCTTCCCACCCCCTCCCCACGAGCAAATACCGGAGACAGGTTTCACACTTAATTTCTCATCCCGTATGATCACGTCGGTACAATTAAGAGATCCTACCGGGTTTTGTGCGTCCTCCATCAGCCGTGAATAAAACCCGCTTTTTTTGCACTTGAGCCACACGTGACGCGGCTGACCATCGGTCCGTGGTCACTGCTTAACGACCGATTCGTCAGATATAGCAGGACTGAGTTGACAGTAAACGTCGAACGACCAGAAGGCAGAGGCCTAGCGCGAAAATTGGGGACTAACAATAAAAAGGACCGAGTCTCAGACACGTGGACTTTCATCTGGCCCTGATCTTTTGGTTGATTTAACTACTAATTTATTTACTTATTGTAAAGATTTGTCGTTTTATCGAATGTAAATAAAATGTTTCTAATGCTCATAAAATATTTATAAAAAAAAATTGAATTAATATTAAAACAAAATTGCGGTGAAATATTTTTCAATATATTTTTTTTAATTTACTACAAGTCAACAATTATATAGTATTTATGCATTTTCTGGGATTATCAATTTATCTATCTATCTATCTATCGCATACTGTTCATATCTATCTATCTATCTGTCTGTCTGTCTGTCTATCTATCTATCTATCTGCCTATCGGTCTGTCTGTCTGTCTGTCTGTCTCATTCCATCAATATCTATCTATAAGCAGAAGTCGGGTTCCTACGAACACTACTATATATAAATATAAAGCCGTGCTAGAAATCCTATCTATCTATCTATCTATCTATCTATCTATCTATCTATCTCAAACTCTTCATATCTATCTCAAACTCTTCATATCTGTCTGTCTGTCTCTGTCTCTGTCTCTCTCTCTCTCTCTATATATATATATATATATATATATATATGGAGAGAGAGAGATACCAGTTAAACTCCATCCTTCCATCGATTTAACTTTTTCATATCTATCTATCTCAGTTAATGCATATCTATCTCATTCGGTTTATTGCTCTCTCTCTCTCTCTCTCTCTATATATATATATATATATATATATATATATATATATATATATACTAAATAAGAGAAACCACATCACTTGAGGATTACCAACAGCAGCAACAAATAAAATGGATAGCACATGTACCTTGAAGAGAAAATAAAAACTTTAATCAAGATGTTAACATTGTACACAACTTCAAAAAAAGGTTACGAACGAGAACCCCCATCAATATTTTTTATCTATCTATCTATCTATCTATCTATCCTTTTCTGCTCATATCTATAAATATCTATATCTCTCATCATACATAAACACGCACACATCCAAAAAATCTTTACTGAATTCGACCAACAAGGTTTTTTCTCTTTCTTTTTTTTATCATATTTTTCAAAATTACTAATAAGATGTCGTATATTAATTCGAAACTTAAACTGTTTGAAATTCATGTTCTGTCCGTTTTATTCAAAAACTTTCGACTGTCTCAGTCATTACTAAGAACTCGGCAATTATCTCTACATATATATGCGTGGCCAAGTGGTAAGAACGTTCGCTTTATGAACATGAGAACTGGGTTCGAATCTCACCATTGTCGATTTATCAGGAAGGAGACTTCCTGATGTTATCGGAATGAATTGAAGTCGATACCATACCACGGCTTGTCGGGGGCCGTCGATAGCTGTGTCAGCACAAAGACACAAGTCATCATGACCGAGGACTTGAGTGTGCTGGCCTTGTTCAACTTGATGATCACACTAGATAAGGCACTCTTTCCCAGAAACTGTAACTAAGGTCTGCTCAGCATAGTTGCAATATAAACCACAGGTGGGCTCTGTGGGAGTTGAATAAATACAAATGCGCCTGATCAAGTGTCTGCAATAGGGATTGGCTAGCCTCCCTAGTAGACAGGTATGCTCGAATACGAGTGACCAGCTATTGTTTATTATGTATTTGTATCTAGTTCTCCCCGTACGATTAACGAAGTTAAGCAACGTCGAGTCTGGTCAGCACCAAGATGGGTGACTGCTTAGGAATACCAGGTTCTGTAAGCTTGGATTTGCGGAATGTGTAATGGAAAAAGCACGCAAATGTAAATCGTTTGGTCCGTTATATTCACTTAAAAAAAAGGTATGAATTCACTTCTTCTCCCCATCTATGGGTTAATTAGTTAGGCTTGTATCGCTAAATCATTATTATATCCCCAAAACAAAAATATATATATATATATATATATATATATATATATATATATATATATATAATTGTGTATACACAAACATACTAGTAGAAAACACAAATATATTAACCACATCCACCTGTAAAAAAAGACTAAAAATAATGGAAGCTTTAATAATAATAAAAAGAAAGAGCCAACTCTTAACAATATTAACTACGAACAAGGCCACAATGTGCTAACCGTATTCGGAAATTAAAAACATCTCTACAACACACTAAAATATACACATAATGCACACATTCAATTAAGCTGAAAAATCGAATCATACTTGATAATTGCTAAAGATATAGCCGAAAGCACTTGGAACTATAAAACATTTGGACAGTTTTTACACACTCTTTATCCAGAAAAGAAAGCTGTTGTTCGAACACAAGAAAAAATGTGCATTTGGGCAGCAATTCCTCTTTTGTACATGTTTCGATAAAAAGCACTGACAAAATACTGCGAGTCAGCATTTTATTTTTTTATTTTTTTTTTGAGTTCGTATAAGTGTTTTCTTTTCTGAACACAAAGACAAAGTGTGTAACTGTAAAAAAAAAAAAAGTTCTGCTTATCCGAGCGCTTTCTTTGACCTGGCGAATCTTATACGTTATTCCTGTTATAAATATTGTTCCATTTCTAAACTTTGTTTTGGTGATTCTGATTGAGTAACCTTTTCGTAAGTTACAACACACACACACACACACAATTTTAGGTATGCTATAAATCATATATATATATATATATATATATATATATATATATATATATATAAGGTATTCATTCTTAAAATTAAAAGGTGGCAAGAGTATCTGACACTTATTTTTTCGTATGATGAAGTGGTAAATGAGTTATTACTAAATTCTACGAGAACGTCTAAGAAAGGGAATTTATAGGTAAATTTATAGGCAAATTTATAGGTAAATTTATAGGACAGAGTTTTTTTGAATGTGATTTTGAGATTATTAATTTTTTTGTTTATTTTTCACTATTTTTCGTCTATATCGCGGACATATATTTTGGGTTTAGTGACTTTTTTAAATATCGTGTATTCTACGTAATGCACACTGTTTAAAATAAAAATGGCACGTCTATTTCACATACGAGCATCCACTAAATAATAACATTTGAAGTAATAAAAATGTCAGATTAAAAATAAATATAGTAATTTTATATATGTATATATATAAATATATGTAATGTGTGTACCTGTGTGTGTCTGTCGCTGTGTAAATACACACACAAACACACAAACATACATACACATGGACACACACACGCACACACACACACACACATATATATATATATATATATACATACATATATATATATATATATATATATATATATATATATATATATATATATATATATATATATAATAATACAAATAAAAAGTAATTTACCACTTAGATGATTGATATAATGTTCAACTTCCATCACTGTTACAATCTTTCTCTATATGGATTTCACTGACTGTATCAATCTGTCTATCCCTATATATATATATATATATATATATATATATATATATATATATATATATATATATGTATGTATGTATATATATAAGAATTATAAAATAATAAGTAATAACGTTCAATACACATCGAAGTTTCGTAATTTTTCAAACACATGATATGAGGAAAAAGTTCTTTTCAAGAGTTCGGATGAGAGATTGAAAAATTAAGAAACTCTGAGTTGACCTTCGATAAGTATTAAATGTTATTACTTCTAATTTAATAATAATAATAATAATAGATAGATAGATAGATAGATAGATAGATAGATAGATAGATATGTAATTCTGTGAGTTAGTAAAATGCAACAA